ATCTATTATATCTTCACTTATTTACTTTTTAATGTATTTATTGCCTGGTACCCCCCCACCCCTCCTGGAAATTATAAGCCCCTGAGAAAGTAGACACTCTGCCTTGTTTATTGCCAAATCCTCAATGCCTAGAACAGTGCCAGGCAAATAGTATTTGCTCAATATTTCTCTCTCTCTCTCTCTTTTTTTTTTTGCTAAGAAAATGTATTCAGTTTTGTAAAACTAAGATTTAAAAGGATTTACTCTGGATGAAAAGAAATCAGGAACTGGGCCAATTTAAAACTATAATAATAATCATGTTGATGAGTATGGTGATATTTATTGAGAAATTACTATATGTCAGGCCACTGTTCTAATGGCTTAAATATATGGACCCATTAAATCCTTACATGACTCACTGAAGGTAGATTAAAAAATTTCCCCCAAGTCAGCCAGTTGGTGAGTGGCATTCCAACTTGGACAGCCTAATTCTAGAACTTGGGCTGTTCACCATAACTGGTGATGTAGCTGCCATGGTTAGTCTGAAAACTAATATCCTTCCACCCAATTACTCCCCTGAGATTGATACACACAGACAAACTGAGCTGGCTTTTTTGTCTAACTCTCTCCAGAATGTTCTATCTATACATTTAACTCATTCAACAGTCATTTTTTTCAATTACCCCATTTTGCTGGGGGGAAAATTCCTGAACAGATAGCAGATTTCCTACACCCAGAGTTATTTCATTTGGATACTATGGTGTTTGTAAGGGCCACATTGTTGGTTAGCTCAAATATGGCTCCACATATGAAATGCTTTCCATTTCAGCCCACCATCTTAAGATGTTCATAAATATAAGCTTTAATGGGGGCAAGGGCTTTGTTTTGTTAATGCTGTAAACAAACAATGTTCGCACATAATAAACCCTCAATAAATATGAATGAATGAATCAAATCATGCTCTGAGGATCCTTGTACATTATGTTAACCCCCCAATAACTATGTTAATTATCTGTGTTTGATTTTAGAACAGTAAATTATCCTAGATTATAAGAATATGAGTCATTATCTTCTTCAATGATATCCATTCTTAAAACACAATTAAATGGTTCACTCTCACAAATATTTGGAAAGATGCAAAATCAACAAATTTCTCTGAGGCCTTGGCTACCCAAATTGTTTAGGAAGAAGACTGGCCTCTGGGCAACTGAACCCTGACTTTTTTTTTTAAATATATTTTTATTGATTTCAGAGAGGAAGGAAGATAGAGATAGAAACATCAATGATGAGAGAAAATCATTGATCAGCTGCCTCCTGCACGCCCCCTACTGGGGATCGAGCCCACAACCTGGGCATGTGCCCTTGACTGCAATCGAACCCGAGACCCTCCAGTCCGCAGGCCAACACTCTATCCACTGAGCCAAACCAGCAAGGGCTAAATCCTGACTTTTGAGAAGTTGGCCTGCTCCCATTCTCTACCTGAATTGTCAGAAGGGCCTAGGGAGGGAAAGGAATGGATCACTGTGTTTAGGGCGCCCCCTGATGTTCAATGATGTTGAGGCTGCTTGGAAAACAGGGGCAGGGCTTTCAGTGGATGAGTGTATTTGGTCAAAGGTCAGGAACCACCCACTGTACTTTCATTCCTAGATAGGACCTTAGAGGTGATTAGTTCAAGCTGACATTAGAAATGGGGAAACTGGCGCCCAAAGAAGTCAAATGTCTCATCCATGGTCACTCAGCTGGATAAATCTCAAACAGGAAAGAAGCTGTATTCCCTGACCCACACCTCCCATCAAAGGAAACTAAACTCATAATTCCAGTCTCTTCACCCTTTTTACATTTATTTTTTTGAAAAATTTTAATATATACATCCTAATTGTTGACAGTATTACAAATGTCTCCCTTACTCCCTCTCCGCCCCCAGGTCTTCACCTTATTGTCCATCTCCATGGGCTATGCTAGTGGTCGGCAAACTGCGGCTCGAGAGCCACATGCAGCTCTTTGGCCCCTGGAGTGTGGCTCTTCCACAAACACCATGTGCGGGCGCGCACGTAGAGTGCGATTGAAACTTCGTGGCCCATGTGCAGAAGTCGGTATTTTGTGGAAGAGCCACACTCAAGGGGCCAAAGAGCCACATGTGGCTCGAGAGCCGCAGTTTGCCGACCACTGGGCTATGTATATAAGTAGGGGTGCATAGGGGAGCATATAATCTGATTGGTGTCTCGGGGGATTTAGAATACATTCCTAGAAGTGGAATCACTGGGCCAAACGGCATTTCCAGTTTTAATTTTTTGAGGAAATTCCATACTGTTTTCCATAGTGGCTGCACCAATCTGCATTTCCACCGGCAGTGAACTAGTGTTCCCTTTTCTCCACATCCTCACCAGCACTTGTTTATTGAAGATAGCCATTCTGGCAGGTGTGAGGTGATATCTGATTGTGGTTTAAATTTGCATTACTCTAATGATTAGTGACCTTGAGCATTTTTTCATATGTCTTTTGGCCATTTGTATGTCCTCTTTGGAGAAGTGTCTATTCAGGGCCTCTGCCCATTTTTTAAGTTGGATTGTCTTTCTTTTGTTCTGAGTACTTTATATATTTTGGAGATTAACCCCTTATAAGATGTATCATTGGCAAATATGTTCTCTCATACAGTGGGTTCCCTTTTCATTTTTTAAAAAATATATTTTATTGATTTTTTAAGATAGGGAGAGGGATAGAGTTAGAAACATCAATGAGAGAGAAACATCGATCAGCTGCCTCCTGCACACTCCCTACTGGGGATGTACCCGCAACCAAGGTACATGCCCTTGACTGGAATCAAACCTGGGACCCTTCAGTCCATAGGCCGACACTCTATCCACTGAGCCAAACCGGTTAGGGCTCCCTTTTCATTTTGATGGTGGTTTCTTTTGCTGTGCAGAAGCTTTTTATTTTGATGTAGTCCCATTTGTTTATTTTTTCCTTTGTTTCTCTTGCCCTAGCAGACGTATCAGCAAAATGCTTCGTGAGATGTCTCAGACTTTACTGCCTATGTTTTCTTCTAGGATATTTATGGTTTCATGGCTTACATTTAAGTCTTTTATCCATTTTGAGTTTATTCTTGTGTATGGTGTAAGTTGGTGGTCTAGTCTCATCTTTTTGCACGTGTCCAGTTTTCCCAACACCATTTGCTGAAGAGACTGTCTTTACTCCATTGTATGTTCTTGCCTCTTTTGTCAAATAATTGACCGTAGTGCTGTGGTCAATTTCTAGGGTCTCTGTTCTGTTCCATTGATCTGTGTCTGTTCTTGTGCTAGTACCAGGCTGTTTTGATTATAATGACTTTGTAATATAGTTTGGTATCCGGCACTGTGATGCATATTCCCCTCTCACAGGAAGTCAGACAGCCCCTCATCTTGGAAGTCTTCCTTGGTCTCTTATCACCAGAATCCTGTGATCCCTGACTTTCACATACAGGAAGCATCACTGGACACTTAAACATGGATGTCCCTGCGTTGATACTTTGAACTTCTCTGTGTTAACAGCTAATTTCTAAGTGGGAGAGAGACCTGAGAAGGTTCTAAATAAAACGGGCACTTACCCAGGGCCAGGGCTAAATTGAAATTCACTACAAACCAGACAGCCTGAGGGCAAGAGAAGGAAATGGATCCATCCTGCAAGAGCTAAGAAGAAATTTTAGAAAATTCTCATCTCTTCCTGGTTCTCTGGGACACAGTAGAAATTTTCTTTGTCTTCCTAGAGAAGGAGTAAGTTTCGGAGCGCCTACTGTGTAAGGTAGAGAAGTGAGAGGTGTCCAGGTGGAAATGCCCTCCCACCAGTGAAGTGGGGCTTGCTCTCCGGCACCTCAGTTAAGGGTGTCCCCAGATGGCAGCAGCACAGCCCAGTTCTCAGAGTCAAAAATAAATAAATAAATACATACATACATACCCAGAGAGCCCTAACCAGTTGAGTGGATAGAGCTTTGGCCTGTGGACTGAAGGGTCCCCATTTAATTCTGTCAAGGACACAGGCCCGGTTGTGGGCTGGATCCCCAGTAGGGGGTCGTGGAGCAGGCAGTTGATGAATTATTCTCATCATTGATGTTTCTATCTCCTCACTCTCTCTATTCCTCTCTGAAATCAATAAAAATGTATTAAAAAAAAAAAAAAAGACCCAGAGAGCCAAGCCGAGGCGCTATGGCCTAAGAGGTCCTCTTCCCCAGAAGATAAAGGAGTTTCCCTATAATTTCAGGGACTGCAAAGGAGGAATAAGGTCCCAGGTCACCGGCAGTGGAGTGTTTGGGTTGACGACTCGTGCCCTGATGAACCCCCGGGGAGAAGGCTGCACCCCTCCCATCTTCCTTCTCGCCTCGGATGTAAATGAAGTTAAAAGGGCATGTGACCTGGACGAGACCGCATCCCTCCGGCGCTCACGGAATACCGGGAACAAGTTAGTAACCCACAGCAGGAGCTGGGAAACTGGACTGCCGAATCCCCTCTGCCCCGCATCAACTCCAGAATCGGAAAAGCAGCCTCCGCTCACGTCACTTCCGCGCGCCGAGGGGCGGGGCCGGATGCGGAAGGCACTGCGGGAGCCACTGGGAAGTGTAGTCTTTTAGGCAAGGCGTTAGAGAGAGGTCGGGCACAACGGAGTACTACGCCTATGGCCCCTTACATGTTTTGTGAACGTGGTTTGAAGAATAAAAAGTAGGAATCTAGGTGCCACACTGGTTATTCTCCAGGGACCGGAGTAAGTTATCCGCAGTGCTCCCTCGGAGGCCAATGGGAGCGCGGGCCAGCTGCGCGCTCCGGCCGCGCCGAGCATCCTGGGGGGTGGGGCGTGGTCCCGGCGCCGTGGCGGATTCTGGGTAGTGTAGTCCGCCCGCGTGGCTGGAGTCGGTCCCCAGCTGGTGGCTGGATTGACCCCTTGTTCTTCCGTGGCGCAGGTGAGTGAGGCTCCCGGGGCACCTTTGCCTCACCGTGCCCTTCCCTGCTCCGGAAGGTGGGTCTAAAAGCCTTGCTGTGGGCCGGGGCTGCGGATGGTGCCGTGGGCGGGCGAGGAGGTAGTGATGGGGACGTGCTGTCGTGGCTCAGGCCGTGCGCTACCGGATGTCTTATTTGGGGGTGTGGGCGCGCATTCCCGACGTGAGTGAAGCTCAACCTTGAAGTCCAGTGATGGTGGGTGCTGAGCTCCGGCCTTTCGTCCTAGGGTTCCTGTGGGTTGCGACATGTTTGGCCTTGGCCGAAATACGGGTATTGGGAGAGGGGGTTTCTCGTGCCACAAGTCCCTGGGTTTCGGGGGGTTGAGTTAGTAGGCTCTGGGGGTCCTAACATTTCCCAGGTGGTGGAGTGGGGGCTGCCATTGGGGTTTTGGTGGGTGAGGGCTGAGAGTCTCGCATCGATCCTCCCTCTCTGTTTTGCTGAGGCGGGGTGCGGGGTCCCTGGCTCGGACTAGGTGTTGGAATGGCCATTTGGGCGCGATCTTAGGGTCTCAAATCGGCAGGTCCCCCCTGGGCTCGGGCCTTGGAAGCAGTGGGGCTGGGGGCCACTGGGCAAGTTTTTCAGAGATGCGGAGGACTGTCCCTGATCCCAGGAATCATGAGTTCCCCCATCTCTGGTGTGGCCAGGCTTTGGGACTTTAAGTTTCATCTTAACTTTTTATTACAGAAAATTTCAAGACAGAAGTAGATAGAACTTCATAGACCCATCACCCAGATTCAATGCTTATCACCTCTTGATCATTCTTGATTTCATCTCAGAATGACACCCTGAGAACCCTTATAATCCACAGTGGTTTCTTATCACCCAGAGCCACATTTCATCCAGGCTCTATGACTTTATAGCTGTGTCCCCTTGGGCAAGAGACTGACCTCACTTGTGCCTCAATTTTCTTATCTGTGAAATGAAGTTAGCAAATCCGTACTCCATTGGATTGGGGAGGTAGAATGAGGTAAAACTTGTGCAGGCCTGGAACAGTCTCTGGTATATATGTATATGCTAAGTGCCTGGTAGGTGTTAACTTTCCTTATTAGAGCAAAGGTGAGAGAGGGTCAGCTCAGGGCCAGCGCCAGTAGCAGGTCTGAGCTGGCAGCGTTCACAGCCCACAGATCAGCTCTCCTCCCAGCAAGCTGCCCACCGTCTTTTCTAATGTGACAGCTCCATTCTTCATGCTTTTAAGGAAGAGGAAGCCCTACCCTGCTGGATCTTGAGGGTTTCCGGTGACGCTCCTGAATCTTTTTGTTCTTGTTCTGCCGCCCCTACGTCTCCTGCCTGCCCAGAGAGGACTTCCTGGTGGGCAAAGGGAGGCTCCTGGGCTCTGGCAGCCCAGCTTCAGGGAGGGTCCAGCTTGCCTTTTGCATGCTGCAGGGTTTCCTTTGCTCACCTTTGACATCCAGAGATCAGAGCCCCAGCTGGCTTCCCCAGGAAACGAGGCCTGTGGTAAGAGTGACAGTTTTCACAGGGACTGTTCTTCAGACCTGGGGCCCTTATTCATGACTTCTCGGTCCTGGCCCAGCATTTCTTCCCTCGGCATTTGTTCAGACTGCTCACTTCAGAGCTTGTCTGCATCTGAAGTTGTCAACATTCTGCTCTTTTTCCATCCAATACCCTCACTTACTCTTTTCCCCTGCTAGACTGGTTTGCAGCAAATCTTCATAGCATTTCACCTTAAACACTTCAGTAGGTATGTCTAACACAGAAGGACTTCTTAATTTAAGGGAATCACAATCTTATTGTTATGCCCAACAGAATTAATATTTGTTTTCCTGGTTGTTTAAATTTTTTTTCTTTGAACAGCCCTTGTCAGGAGTGGAAGAGGAAGACATTTCTGGAATCGAGAATGCTGGTTTTCTCTGTCTCTGCCTCTCTTTCCTCCCATTTCTTCTGATCTGGTTGGTTAATAGCTGCAGCTGCTACCAGTGGTGCAAGCTGGGTCTCTTGAGTTTTCCTTGCCTCTTTCTTCTTTCCAAACCTCCCTCCCTTTTGATTGGCTGTTGTATCCTCTCAATTCTGCCTAAGTGGTACCCCTTAGTTCCTCCTTCCTTTCCTTTGTCTCTACTCCTGCACTACCCTAGCTTCCTGTCTCCTCTCCACCTTCTTGCCTATCTCCCCCACATCCCCCTTTCTCTTAAATTGGGCTTCTAAAGTATAAATACAGTCATGCACTGCTTATCGATGGGGATATGTCCTGAGAAGCGTGCAGTCAGGAGATTTTGTCATGGTGTGAACATTATAGAGTGTACTTACACACACCTAGATGGTATACTAGTAAGCCTAAAGATGGGAAGTAAAAATGGTGGTTAGCAGGGTTTGAGGGTGAGGAAGAAGTTACTGTTTAATGGTTACAGAGTTTTAGTGTGGGATGATGAACCAATTCTGGAGATGGATAGTGGTGATGGTTGTACAACAATGTGAATATACTTAATCCTACAGAAATGTACACATAATGCACACATGTGCCGGTCAGGGCACATGCCTGGGCTCGATCCCCAGTCGTGGGTGTACAGGAGACAGCCAGTCAATGATTCTCTCTCATCGTTGATGTTTCTATCTCTCTCTCCCTCTCACTTCCTCTCTGAAATCAGTAAAAATATTTAAAAATTTTTAAATGATAAAAAATTTTTTGTTTTGTATATTTTATGGTAATAATTTTAAAAACCTACAGATGTCTACACTCCAACTATGCTGTGTTTACCAATAGGTGCCTTATTCCTCCCAGGTAGTCCTCCCTGTCCACGTTGTGGCTTCTTCTCTCCCTTTGCTCACAGTGTCCTCTTCTCTGCTTCCTCTATCTGGAATACCTAGCACTTTTCTCTTGTGATTCTGGTCCATCCTTCAAGACCAAGTTCTTAGGACTCTCTCATGAAATCTTTCTTTTTTAAAAAAAATTTTTTTTCTTTATTGATTAAGGCATTACATATGTGACCTCCATTGCCCCACACACACACAACTCCCCACTCATGCCCTCACCCACAAGTGTCTGTGTCCATTGGTTATGTTTATATGCATGCATACAAGTCCTTTGGTTGATCTCTCCCCCTTCCCCCCACCCTCCCCTGCGTTCCCTCGGAGGTACTAGTATGAAATCTTTCTTGATGTATGTGTTCCATTGTGTCCTCCATTTTGAAAAAATATTAAGGATATGAGTAGAACTGGGCAGGGGGGTGAGAATGGGGTGTAGAAATTAATTTGTAGATTGAGTGGCCAAGAAGGTCCGCCCTGAGCATCTACAGTGTGGGGCTGTAAATTTGCTGTTATCCACATTTCACAGGTGAGAAAATTAAGGCACTAGTTGACAGCAAAGTTGGGTCCTGAACCCAGGCTGTATGATTCAAGACCCTCCTCTTCACCACTTCCCGCTTCTCAGGCCTGAGAAGGCTGAGGGGCCATGGGATTCAGGGGAAGGACTGAGTTGTAGTTTATTCTATGCCATTATTGAATTTTATGAACTTTAGTCACTCAGATGCTTCAATATTTTGTTGTTGTTAATCCTCACCTGAGGATATTTTCCCATTGATTTTTAGAGAGACTGGGAGGGGGAGAGAGAGAGAGAAACATCGATGTGAGAGAGACACATTAATTGGTTGCCTCCCGCACAAGCCCCGACCAGGACCGGGCATTGAGCCTGCAACGGAGGTACATGCCCTTGACCAGAATCGAACCCAGGACCCTTCAGTCTGAGGGCTGATGCTCTATCCACTGAGCCAAACCAGCTAGGGCCAGATGCTTCAATATTGATTCATTTGGTTATGCTATTTAATTTTTTAAATTCTTAAAACTCAGAAAGTCTTTTATGTTTTACTATTGTTTAATTTTTATATGTTGTCTGCTCTTCTCTGCCTGGATTTAAAGTTCTGGGAGTTAGGGACTCTTTTTTTACATATACAGGGTGTCTCAAAAAATGTATATGCACTTTAACAGCTGATAGCTCAGTTTTGAAAATGAAATGTATTTTAATAAACACGGCCTTTATACAAAGTGTGTATATACGTTATAGGATACCCTATATTCTCCAAACAGTTCACCCAGGGTCTTGAATGTATAGATTCACAAGTGATGCTTGCTGGACAGCCACAGAGGTTTAAAGGTTTTAGAACACTGGCACCAGGGTCACAGTCAAAGGCAGGATTTAGATAGCTCTCCTGCGTCCCCCAGGGACGCCTTCTCCCTGCTCCTTACCTTGAGTCGTGGGCAAGGCTGGCTCCTTGGTGAGCAGGACTGTGTTTTGTTTTCCAGGCACACATGGCATTCAGGGATGTGGCTGTGGATTTCACCCAGGAAGAGTGGATGCTGCTGAGCCCTGCTCAGAGGTCCCTGTACAGGGAGGTGATGCTGGAAAACTACAGCAACCTGGTCTCACTGGGTAAGCCTGGCATCTCTTAGGACCCCCATGCATGCTGCTGGGCATTTTAGGATCTGCTTGAAGCAGCCATCTTGCCTTCTGACTTGGCCCTTGAGTCCATAACCTGCAGCCACCTTGTTTTCTTTCTCTGTGAACAGGAATTCCATTTTCTAAACCAAAGCTCATCACCCAGCTGGAGCAAGGGAAGGAAACCTGGAGAGAGGAGAGAAAATGCCCACCAGCCACTTGTCCAGGTGAGTGGGGAACTGGGCAAATGGATCATAGCGCTGCGTGTGGGCAGCTTGGGGTGGGGGAGAGGAGGCATTGCTGAGGTGTAGGGAGGGAAGACTAACGCCTCATGTCCCCGGCTGCTGTTTGCCTTGCCTGGCACAGCCGCCTCCCTTCCAGACCTTCATCCTTACCCTAGGACGGGCTTCCCTGGTGCGTCTTCCTCCACTAGAAGCCTTTCTCCCTCCTACTGAGTTTCCCTCTCTACCTCACTCAGTTCTCTTCATATTCATAGACTTCTTTCTCTTTACTTTTTTTTTTTAAAGATCAAGCAAGAATGTGGAAAAAATCTGAGTGAGCTAAAGAAATAAGGCAAGCCCAGGGAGAGGGAGGAAGGCTAAAAATCCAACCAAGAAATTGAAATTGAATTCTTAAAAAACTGTGAGCCAAAAGTAGTTTTTACATTTTTAAATAGTTACATAAGTATATAATATCCTCAATTTTAAACTTCTTACCCTCAAAGCTTAAAATTATTTGCTATCTGACCATTTAAGAAAAAGTTTGCCGACCTATGCTCTAAGGAATTAGGATATACAGCCCTAACTTTTCCTGACCTACTTATTATGTAAAAATGTAAGAACATTGCAATTGCACAGTTCCGTTTACCCCTTCCCCCAACATTCTTTATTCTATAGTTCTTATTTGTATTACGTTTACATACATTGTAAATTCCTTAATATGATATGTATTTTTTTAATCAAGAAGAAATTATTTTATATGCATTCAGATAATTTACCATTTTCTGTACTCTTCATTTTCTTTCTGGAGATCCGAGTTTCCACCTGGTATCATTTTTCTTTAGCCTAAATAACTTGTTTAACATTTCTTGTGCAGGTGGCACTGTATTTGCTTACGTTTTGTTTTTCTGAATGTTGACATCTCCTACTTAAGTACTATAAGAAGAAAATTTTTCTTTTACATTGATTTCTGGGGAAACTCATTCATATTAATTATAGAAATTATCAGGGAGTGAACTGATCAGGAGCTCCAGCAAGGAGCATCTCTTAAGGCTGTTTGTGTCGCCCATTGCTGTCGACC